GAGTCATTTAGACAGCCGTTAGCACATGATTCTCCTTATGGGGACCTGATGTGTTTAATATGCTGCTGAGAATATAGCCCAGAAGAAGCGTATAGTATAGCTTTTATTTTGGAAAGAGACATTTCTCTGTAATAAACTCTCGTTTCCAAAGATGAGTGATTCCTCAATCAGATATATTTATTTTTTTATTACTTTGTTGTTTCAGCAACATTAGGTTTCCATTTATTTATTTATTCTTTCAATCCTGTCCTATCTGGCAGCTTTTGTAATCAGAATGCACTGTTGTGCCAAACACATTTTCTTTTCCCAAGATCAGCTCTATAAATTTTCTACAGGCTCCTCTTGTTCAGGATTTATCTGTTTATTTCTTCATTTCTATTTGTGTTATTTAAAATTATTACATTGTGTAGTATTATTGCTGTATGACAAGGTCTATAAGGCCGAACAAGCAGGAGAAAAAAACAAGAGAGGAGGGACAGGGGAAGATGTAACAATAGGACAGAGTACAAATAGAAATTTATAATGTAACACCAACCTTGACTCACCCTATCATGTGGCCTACTGAGGTCACCTGACATGAGATCAGAGGGGGGTTAAGGCTCCTGGGAAGGGATCACAAAATTGCACTGAAGGTGCAGACAGTAAGAGACGCCACCACAGGGGTTTAAATTCCTGGGATTCTCCATCTTTTGTTTCTAGAACTGAAGAAGCCTCTTGGATGAGAGGTGAAATGTCATCAAGAAACTTCTTAGACAATCAAATATTTTATATTAAGATGTAAAATAAGTCAAATTCTCACTGATGGAAAAACTAATGTCACAGTCCTGAGTCGGTGACCCAGTGTTTTGTGTTCTGTGTTACTATTAATCTTTGGCCTCATTGTGGTTTATCATTACTAGTCTTATTGTTTATGGTTCTCTACTTCTAGCTTTAGTTGTTCTTTGTTTTGTGATTTCTAGTTCTTGGGATTTGTTCCTGTGCCCCTCATGTTTAGTGTAGGTTTAAGGTTCTGTCTTCTTGTTTATTTCCCCAGTCAGTCGTGTCTCATGTTGCAGTTTGTCACTCCTGTCCCTGTGCTCTGTGTTCCCTCTGTTCAGTGTCAATGTCGTGCCTCTGTGCCTGTCGTGTGTTTCCTGTTTTATTTTGATAGTCCCTGTCTTGTGTGCAGTGTGTCTATTTTTGCTTCCCTTTTCTCGTTAGGTCTGATTTGTCCCGGTTGTGTTGCCTCTTGTGTTTCCACCTGTTCCCCATCCTCTCGTTCTCCTGCCTGTGTATTTAAGTCCTGTGTTTCTCCTCTGACATTTTTTCCCCTCCTCTGTCATTTTATAATGCTGTGTGTTTCTTTGCTCCCTGTTCCAAGTCAACTCCTAGTTTTCAGTTCCTGGAATATTTTCTAGCGTTGTAGTTTGAGTTTCTAGTTTTGTTTTGAATTTGGATGAGAAGTTTTCCAGCGTTAAAGCTTCCGTTTTGAGTTTACTCCTCCGTTCAAAAGTCCTGCACCTGGGTCCAACATCTTGCCTGCCACACAGCAAACCATGACAACAAATCTTTCTTGGATAAGCTAAAGCAGCTCCACATACAGACTCAGATTAGAGTCAACCATCAAAACACGTTGATAACAAAACATGAGTCCTCTGATCACATGACCTGAAATGGTACAAATGACTGATGCTCTGTTCTTCTTACTAAAACATGTTTATGGATCAGTATGAATCAAACAATAGGAGTCAGTGATGTACTCACAGAATAGGCCCAGCTCACAGAGCAAAGTGGCTCCCATCCTCACATCCAGCAGTGACACGTCTGAAAACTTCTACAACTTTCTGTAAAGAGAGAGAGTGAAGCAGCAGCACAGCAGATACCAAAGAGCTGTGAAGGAAACAAACTTCTTCTTTCTGCTTCCTTCGTTTTACACAGAAATAGCAACTTAACAAGATCTGACCACAGCATGCTGTGACATCTTTATACTCTCCTGCTGCTGCAGAAACATCAGACACTTTTTTTATGAAAAGGCCTGTAATATAAAAACTAGACTGAACAAAACTAGACATGCAGTAAGTTTTCTTATACAAATATCAGCGTGACTGAGCAGCTAAAAGGGCAAAATAAGATCACAATTTCAGGATAACTTTTAAATGTGAAGTGTTTAAGTTATCTTACGTGCCAAAAACACAACAAGAACACAGCTCTGGCTGCACCTTCACACACCACACACATCGAATACTCTTTCTCATAAATCATTAGAAGCATCAAATCACAGCATCGAAGCATCATCATACAGAAATGTTAAGAGATATATTCTAAAACACCTCTTCAGCTGAGAATCAGAGAGGAGAAACACACAGTTTTACTTGTTGCTTAGCAAGGGCAGCTCTGAGGTCTCGCACGAGAGTGAGGGCTCAGGGACTCGCAGCTCTGAGACTGCCCTGGTCTTTATTTATACATCAGTGGGTGTTTATATGTGTGTGTGTGTGTGTGTGTGTGTGTGTGTGTGTGTGTGTGTGTGTGTGTGTAGGTGTGGAGTCAGAGTGTGACCCCATAACTGACTTCCCTAAATCTGCTGGTCTGGAAGTCCAACAGTTCATCTAAGCACTTAGACTAAAACTGACATAGCTACGTTTATCCTACCATAAAACAATAAGACAAGGTACGACCTCTCCCATGCTCCCAGAGTGTGGGTGTGAATGCCAGAGCACTTTGGAATGCACACAAAGCCTTTGCAGACTATTAAGGATCGCACATCCTATCACTACCATATGCAAACTTATATAACTAAAAGATTATATTGACTACTAAGTACAATTTTCTATTGACAAGAAAAATACATAAAAAGACACAAAATGCTAATGTTGCACTAAAGGCAGCTGCACAAAATCATTAAATTGCTTCAAATATCAAATTAATACATTTCTGTGAACAAATTAAGTCATCTGTCCAGGGTGTATCTCACCTCTCATCAGCTGGGATAGGCTCCAGCCCACCTGAGACACAGAACTTTACAAAAAACCAAGAAAACAGATTCATACAATATTATGGTTTTCTTAACTGACAAAGCTGAGCTTGACTCATTTAAAGTATTTCATTACACTAATGCAAAACAGAAATAGTGTCCTTAAGCAGAAGTGGGCATGAGGCAAGAGGAAGTCCTGCCCTCTCTCTCAGATTATACGTGCTGCTGTTTTCATGGTGATGTAAGCTGTGTCAGTGACCACACAGTGGGCTGGTTCCTGGGAAATGTGAGTAATGTTTTTAAGAATCAAAACTGAAATGTAAAATAAAACACTTTCTGACTCTTTTATAAACTGTTTCCACTCAGAGCTATTAAAGCAAATCCAAAATTTACACCTGTTTGAGCTGAACACATACAAAACACTGTCAGTCTGATGTTTGGAGAGCAGAGCAAAGCTGCAAACAGAGCCACCGTTAGTGATGCGCGAATCATGAATGAATCGTTCAATACTCGAGAATCACTTTACTGACTCATGATTCACAAGCCCAACTGACTCACTGACTCATCCCTGTTGCTGTTAGCAGCAATATATCTAGCTTATAATTAAAATTGTGGAGAAAAACAAAACATCCATTCATTTTGGTGAGTGACTCATTCAATTCAATTCAATTTTATTTATATAGCGCCAAATCACAACAAAAGTCATCTCAAGGCGTTTCATAGATACAGAGAAAAACCCAACAATCATATGACCCCCTATGAGCAAGCACTTTGGCGACAGTGGGAAGGAAAAACTCCCTTTTAACA